ATGGGAAAGAGGAGGGTTCAATCTGGAGTACTGCCACTCCAGACTTAGGACATATTAAATGGCTCATATAGAGGGACCCATCATTATCACTTTAGGGCGGAAACTAGCATGGTATATAGGTTAGACCAGGGGTCCTCAAACTATGGCCCGGGGGCCGGATACGGCCCTCCAAGGTCATTTACCCGGCCCTCGCTCAGAGTCAACCTTAGTCTGAAATGACTTGAAAGCACACAACAACAACAACAACCATCCTATCTCATCAGCCAAAATCAGGCCCACACTTCCCATGGAAATACTAATAAGTGTATATTTGTTAAAATTGTTCTTCATTTTAATTATTATATTGTTTTCATGTGGTTTTTGCACTATAAATAAGATATGTGCAGTATGCATAGGAATTCATTCATGTTTTTTTCAAATTATAATCTGACCCTCCAACAGTTTGAGGGACTGTGACCTGGTCCTCTGTTTAAAAGGTTTGAGGACCCCTTGGGTTAGATTATTAGATGAAGATGGAGCTCATTTGATGACCATGGGACAGTCTCTCCCGCACCTCGAGCTTGATTTTCTTCACAAGGCTACTTTGACCTTCTTAGAGAAAATAAAAACTATGACTGTTGCAAGCAATTAATTAACCAACCAACCAACCATTACCACACTTTCTTGAAGGCACTTGTACAGTATGTATAGGCACTATGTAACAATAAGACAATACACCCACATGGAGACAGCACATCCTCATTTGGAAAGGGTTATCATTAGCAATCGCAACCTCATTATATCTCACTTGGCGTGATGCAGTCTTGAGGCAATATAAGCAAGTTAAACACTTCAAAACTATAAAATAATTACAATACATTTTAAAAGAGCTTAATCATCTTGAAAATAGGTTTAACAGGTTAGAACAGTTTAAAACCTAGTGCCTAAGTATCTTAGAGTGAGTCACTTACTCCCCAAATGCTTCTTATATTAGTCATGTTGATATATGGCACCTATATAAAGTTTTAATTGGCACCAGGTAAAGGCATTCCACAAGTGGCATATTACAAATGAGAAAGCCTCACACAGCATTGATCATATCAATGGGATACATAAGAGATCCCTTCTGGCAGGCTCTGTCATTGGGCAGACATATATAGAGATGAGTACTTCATTTCCCTGTATGTTTACAATAAGCATATTTAGGCAAAATCTAAGGAATAGCCATTAAGCTCTATGGAAGGGTGACCTAAGTGTCTGCTGCACTCAGTATGTGAGTAATGTCCAGGCCAGGCATGTATACCTTTCACACTTTAGTTGTGAGCTCTGTAAAGAACACTGTAAAGAATGATTTATTGCCTTGTTATTGATTAATTGTGCAATTTGCTATTACTTATGCATACCACTCTGTAATTGACAGGCGTAGGCATAATTGGTTTACCCTGGCATGAACTTTCACAGAGGGTTCTTTGCTTTCTCTTATGCCTTGTTATTGATGAATTGTGCAATTTGCTATTACTTATATACCACTCTGTTATTGACAGGCATAGGCATCATTGGTTTACCCTGGCATAGCTTTTGCAGAGGGTTCTTTGCTTTCTCTTATGCCTAAAGTGCACTGAGTTTCTTTTTCAATATTTTGAAACCAGAAGAAGGAGAATCCTGCCAAACTAAGGCAAGTGCTAGCTTTAGCCTATAAAGCCCTAAACGGTTCTGGCCTAACTTACCTGTCTGAACGCACCGTCTCCTCTGAACCAGCTAGGGTGTTAAAATCGTCTGGGGAGGCCCTGCTCTCGGTCCCGCCAGCGTCACAAGTACGTTTGGCGGGGACGAGGGACAGGGCCTTCTCAGTGGTAGCCCCTCGGCTGTGCAACGCCCTTCCTACAGATATTAGATCACCCCCCTCCCTGTTGACATTTCGGAGGAAAGTGAAGACCTGGTTGTTCGAGCAGGCATTTGAATAGGCAGTGTAACGAACATAGGAATATGGAACAATTGAATGATGAGACTGGATCTTGATTTTAACTATGAGACGCTAATGAGATGTTTTATTGACTTATATTGACTGTTTATTATGCTATTGTTTTAATTGTTTATAACTGTTTTATGATTTTTTGAGCATTGCATTTTGCTATTGTTAACCGCTCTGAGTTGCCCCAGGGCTGAGAAGAAAATAAATAAATAAATAAATAAATTTATTCTAGAAAGTATGGATTTATAATCTATGTATCTTGGCTTGCTGATGGTGATTAGCAATTTGTGAAAAAAAATTATTTTGACATTATAAATTAATATAATGTCCCCGCTTTTTAACGTCAGCTTGTTACTATTATATTGGTTGCACAGTACAGAGTCCCAGTCTCCCAAAAGTAACAATATTTATTATAACTGTTTACATGTCACCCTTTTAAGTTTTTTATCAGAAGTTTGCTTGATCATCTAATTCAACATTCAAACAGAGAATTCTCAGTTGGCACTCAATTGCTTTTCTGAAAGTGGTAGTCCAATATCTCCTACTGAAAACTGTGCCACTACTGATAATCCCATTATTACCATTTCCCTGCATTACCCTTCCTCTTTCACCCTGCTTTCCTTCCAGCACACAAATATTTTGACTCCCTCTCTTGCCTTTCAATCTGGCTGCCTATGCCATCTATTCTTACATAGAAATATTGGCACATGGTGCAGCAGCAGGATATGAAGAAGGATGATAGAAGAGGAGGAGGTAGTAGAAAGTTAAGGTCAGGCACCCTCAAACTACAACCCTCACTCCAGCTGTTTGTGTCTCTAGCTCCCAGAATTCCTGACCATTGAACAAGCTGGCTACGGCTTAGACTCATAGAATCATAAAGTTGGAAGAGACCTCATGGCCATGCAGTCCAACCCCCTGCCAAAAAGCAGGAAAATCACATTCAAAGCACTCCTGACAGATGGCCATCCAGCCTCTGTTTAAATGCCTCCAAAGAAGGAGCCTCTGCCACACTCCGGGGCAGAGAGTTCCGCTGCTGAACGGCTCTCACAGTTAGGAAGTTCTTCCTAATGTTCAGATGGAATCTCCTTTCTTGTAGTTTGAAGCCATTGCTCCATGTCCTAGTCTCCAGGCAGCAGAAAAAAAGCTTGCTCCCTCCTTCCTATGACTTCCCTTCACATATTTATAAATGGTTATCATGTCTTCTCTCACCCTTCTCTTCTGCAGGCTAAACAGCTAGAGGATGCCTGGTTATGATAATAACTCAGCCAATGAGGCAGGAGAAAAGAAAATGAGGGAGAAGTACAAGGGAACTTTAGAAAAAGAAAGGAGTTGAGGATGGAAAGTGTGTTTGGTGGTACCATGTAAGGAAACAGATAAATGAGGATGTGCAGGAGATGTGGTGAGTTAAAAGGGAAGGCGATCAAGCAAAAAGGGTGGTTGTCAGGCAATGAGGAAAAGAAGCAGCACAATTCACAATGTCCAGTGCTCTTCTTCCTCCAGCAAATCAATGAATGGCAAGAATAGAAATGACTTAGATCTTATTACACCACTAAAGTGTGATTTCTATAGGTATAGTATCCTTGAAACTGATACATGTCGTTTCCATGATTTCACTTGTTCACTTCGGCCTCCTGTACAAACTACCACTTCTTTTCAGCATCTCTAACATCCACAGGAACATACCCACCATGGGTATTGGAGGGGATTGTCCTGTATTTCACCCCCCACCCCATCTTCCTTACTAGTACTTGCTTGGCCTCTGTCCCTCACTTTTTCCTCTCCGTGATGCTGCAGGAGGAAGGCAGTGTGGCACAGAGTGAGGGAGCAACAAGGGTGTGTTTCACCATTGGCAGTGCTGTGCCGCCCCCCCCCCCCCCCAAAGGATGAAAACTGGAGATAGCAGCAATAATGGTTCTGTAGGAAATGAAATTTTGGGGAACTGATGCCTTAGGGTATTTGGGTCCAGTTTGATCTTGGCAACCCAAAGAGAAACTGGATTGACTCCACTGAATATGTCATTTCTGCAAATGGCCCTGTTTCGAATTCAAATTTCTTCCCAAGAAGATCCAAAAGCAAACAAAGGTGGTGGCTTTGTACCTTAGTGTGGGGGCTGCTTCTTGGGGGGAGGCTGCCACCAAGGAGCAGATTCTTTAAGGGTTGTTTTCAGTGTTACAGATCACCAAAACGAATGGGCTTGAAACCCTTGAGGAAGTACACTGTTTCTTCCAAATACCATACATGTTTTTTCCATGTCAAGCGTGACTTGAGAAACTGCAAGTTGTTTGTGGTGTGAGAGAATTGGCTGTCTGGAAGGACATTGCCCAGGGGGTGCCTGGATGTTTTGATGTTTTAGCATCCTTGTGGGAGCCTTCCCTCATGTCCCCGCATGAGGAGCTGGAGCTGACAGAGGAAGCTCTACCCACTCTCCCCAGATTCGAACTACTGACCTGTTGGTCATCAGTCCTCCTGGCACAAGGGTTTAACCCATTGTGCCACTGGGGCTCCCAAAGACCAATTGAAGGCACATGTATGTATATTGTATACCTTGTAGAAGGAAGGCAGTTTGACCAGAGGTCAACTGCCATGGCTCCTTGCTACTGGATTTTAGTTGGGTGAGCCACCAGAGAAGGAGAAAGACTTTGTGAAATGTAATGGTATAGAACACATCGTCATGGCAATGAAAGTGGGGTCAAATTGCATTRATCCGACAGTGTAGATCAGGCTTGGGCAAARTTGGGCCCTCCAGGTGTTTTGGACTTCAACTCCCACCATTCCTAACAGTCACAGGCCCCTTCCTTTTCCCCCTAGATGCTTAAGCTTAAGCCTGTTAGGAATGGTGGGAGTTGAAGTCCAAAACWCCCGGAGYGCCCAAGTTTGCRCAAGCCTGGTCTAGATGCCCCCGTTGGCGATTTCAACCAGACAGTCSTGCTGTCCGGAGCTTYGTGCGGATAAGCGAAGACCTGGTGCCAGGTCAGGCACGATGGGCGTGGARGGCTGGGTGGGTGGACCTCGAGGCGTCGGGGAAGCCCCGTGGGCGGCTGCTGTCCCTCCTCAGGAGACAGGAGCCGGGGCCCCTCGCCCGGTATGAAAGCGGGGCGGGCGGGAGGKGGAGGCGGCAGAGAGAGGCAGGCGCTCTTCTTCCTCTCCCGCGACGTGTCCCGCGCGCCTTCCCTGGGACTCACTCAGTCAGAGCCGGCCAGCGAAGGAAGGAGTGAGTGAACGAGCGAGTGAGCGGCCCTCGGGGGAATCTTTCCGCGCGAGTCTGGGCAGCTCGCTCCTCGGCTTTGATGGCGCTAGGACCCAGGCGGAGCGCGAGCGGGAGGCCGAGGGAGAGCGCCCCCGGGGCTGCGTGAGTCAGTCCGACCGACCGACCGACCGTCCGACCATCCGTCCGAGGAGCGCCGTCGGAGTCGAAGGGCAGCAGCGCGCGGTGGATGAGGCTGGGGCGCGCGGTGGCGAAGTGGATGGCTCGCGGGCGCCGGGGGAGCGGCTCGAGGGTTCGCGGAAAGCGGGGCGGCCACGGAGAAGAGAGCAGCACCGGCACCAGCTCCTCCTGAAGGGGATCTCTCTCCACCTGCCCGCCGGAGGTGAGTGAGTGAGCGAGGGAGGGAGGGAGTGGGACCAGCACAGCCTGGGCGACTTGTGCCCCCTGGCAAACTCCAAGGGCGCCTCTTCTGTACTGTAGTAGAATGAATGCCGTTGAATGGGCACCACTTGAACTGCCCTTGAACTGGCTCGGGGCTGTCTTTCGCCTTTCAGAGATTCCAGACCACACATCCCAGGAGTCCCAAGCCTCTCCTTGGGGCCCTAAGCCACCCTTGGGAAATTGCTCCTTTTCCGTCTAAGGTACAGAAAATACAGTTGGGAACTACATTATGGCGTTAGTGTAGGATCTATATACAGTAGAGTCTCGCTTATCCAACCTTCCCTCATCCAACATTCTGTATTATCCAATGTAGTCTGCTTCCTGCCCGGATCCACAGCTGTTTCAATACATTGCAATGTTTTGCTGCTAAATTCGTAAATATAGTAATTACTAGAAAACGTATCATGTACTGAACTGCTTCTTCTGTCAATTTGTTATAAAACATGATGTTTTGGTGCTTAATTTGTAAAATCAGAACATAATTTGGCATTATATAGGTTTTTGCTTAATCCCTCCTTATTATCCAACATTTTCGCATATCCAGCATTGTTCCGGCCCATTTATGTTGGGCAAGCAAGACTCTACTGTAGTTGCATGCAGTTAAACTGCATTATATGGGTCTACACCACCCATAATCAGCCTTCCATGTTTTCTGGACCTTAACTCCCTTAATTCCTAACAGCCGATGGGAGCTAAAGTTGGGCCCACTTTCATCTTGGCAACCCAAAGAGAAACTGGATTCACGCCACTGAACATCCAATTTCTGCAAATGGCCCTGTTTCGACTTCCAAGCCCCATTCCCAAGAAGATCCAAAAGCCAACAGAAGTGGTGGCTTTGGAGCCACGGAGCAGATTCTTCAGGGGCTGTTTCCAATATTACAGGTCATCAAAACGAATGGGCTTGAAACACCTGAAGGGCCCAAGTTTGCCCATCCCTGGTCTATACTGACGCTATAATGCAATATCCAAATTGCAATATCTGGCAGTGTAGATCCAGGCAAAAATCCCTGGTTAAAAAGTCCCGCAGCCTCTATTAATAGCTCCAGGAGGGGAGTCTGGAGGGTAGGTTTGTTGTAAACCACTTTGAGTCCCCCCAGGGATAAGAAAAGCAGGATATAAATACAGTAAATAAATAACATAAATAGATTTGCAGCAGGCCTTTGCCAAGTGCAGGGTTCGTTTTCCAAAAACCAAGGGCACGAGAAGCCCATATTGATGCCATTAGTATGAAACACCACGCGTGAATGTGACCTTCTGCTGTAAGTCAGTGCAAGATTGCCACTCTTTCCTCCTCTCCTTTACAGTTTTTAAGACAGCAATAGACACTGCATTTCTAAATCAGTTGATTCTCCCTCTTTTATCCCTCAAGCAATGAACTCCTCGCTGTCTGCCTAGCAGGGGCAGGATGGAAACGGATGGTATTCATTGATTTATGCTTCAGGACTGGGCTCTGTGTGTGAGTGAGTGTGTTTGACACCAGACAGTGGTTGAAAGAGTTGGAAGGGAGGGGGAAGGATAAGAAGAGTTTTGAATTTGCAGTTTGTTGGAAATTGGTGGCATTATTTCTCCTTCCACTGAACCTCAGAGCATTTCCATGTTTTCTCAGAATATTTGGAATTTTAAGAACAAATGCCTAAATAAGAGTGTGCTTGTTTGCTATGTGCTTTTCTGCAGTGTTGGAACTAGGAAAGTTTGCAGACATCAGAGGGTACTGGTGGAAAACCTTTTGTGGTATGAACTAAGGCTCTGTGTATGATTTCTTGTGTGAATCCCAGTAACAAAGTCTCTTCTGTTGACCTGAGAAGTTGCTAAAACTTTGAGATCCTGGTTGTTTTTGTTCTTAGAGATTTGTTCTTAAACTCCTCCTGACAGCTTCACTTGTGCAGATGCATTAAAGCCACCTGGTTTCAGTGATGTCTTCTGTTTGGTCAACAACTTCATAATTGGATTGTTGTGAGTTTTCCGGGCTGTATGGCCATGTTCCAGAAGCATTCTCTCCTGGCATTTTGGCTGCATCATTTTCCTAGTTTCCAACAGACTCCACAACCTCTGAGGATGCCTGTCATAGATGCAGGCAAAATGTCAGGAGAGAATGCTTCTGGAACATAGCCATACAGTCTGGAAAACTCACAACAACCTAGTGATTCCGGACATGAAAGCCTTTGACAATACAACTTCATAATTAAATGATTGAACCGTGATGACCTTTCTGTGTCATTGCATAGATAGAGTGCTGCAGTGAAATGAAATCTATAGACTGTAGTAAAATCACATCATGATGGTCCATGGAAGTATTATCTGAAAGATCTAAGACCAGGATAAATAAGTGCCAGGGGCCAGATGAGTTAGATGAGACACATGCCTTGGCGAAGAGAACGGGGACCGTAATCTCAACTTTCTGAATCACTGCTTAACAATCCAAGGAACATCTGGAGACATTGCTCAGCGATATAGTCACTTTCAAAGGGGTATGTGGAATTGGGATAATGATTATTCAACAACTTCAGAAATGCAGGGAACTCGCCCTAAAGGGACAGAATCTGTTTCATGGTAGAAGTCATGTTGACGGCTGCTCATTACTCCATCCCAGCACTAGATCAGCTCCGAGTTCACAGTTTTGCTTAACAGCATTCACCTGCTGCTGCCGCCTCTTCTTGGTGAATTGATTTCAGATTCATTTAAAACATTGCCAGGAGCTCAAGGATTTTTCATCGCCCCATAAAAATGCTTTTATGGCCTACAGGGCCAGTCCCAGTTTTAAAGAAGGAGTATTTCATATATGCATTACATTGTCAGAGTTTAGATTCAAAAAATCTAGCCTGGTTCTGTGTTGATGTTGCCTTTCTTTTATGGAACAAAATGAAGGCGCAAATTAGAATGGTGTTGTCTGCTTAATGGGATAAAAATTACTTTGATAATGGTTTGCTGTGAATTTTCTGGGCTGTATGGCAAGGTTCCCGAAACATTCTCTCCTGAGGTTTCACCCACATTGGCAGGCATCCTGAGGTCTGTTGGAAACTAGGCAAGTGGCATGTCCATTTGCGAACTAATACTTTGATATCAGTTTGTAATCACTCAGTAGACATCAAAATCTATGTTAATTGTGTTGCTTTCAAAAGAAGCAATGTTTCTTTCAAGATTCCTGTACATATTCGTTATTTTCAGTTTAAGAGCTGAAATGTACTGTCTTGTTAGCACTAATGTATTTAGTCCTTCCAACCCCCAATTGAGGGGGGAAATGTTGCTCAAATGTCATCAAACAAAACTTACAGATTCTGTCACATCATTGGTTCAGTTTGGGGTTGGGAGGATAATGTAGCATCTTTCCCAGAGCTCCAAACCACCACTTTCCATTTTTCTGATTTTTTTTTTTTGAAAAAAAGGTATCATTCCATTTAAAGCAATGGGGACCTCTGCTGGCAATTCCAATCTAGCAAATACACGCTGAGTGCAGTAATCTGATAAACATGAATTGTCCCTGATTGGTTTAATAACCTCCATTAAAGAAAGTTACAAAATGCTAAGTAAACATACCCAGAAATAAGTTGCATTGACATTAATGAGGTTTGCTTCTGAATAAATGCACTTATAGGGATTGAGCTGGAGTTTTTTTATAAACATTATTTTTTTAAAAAAATCTCTCCAGATGTGTTCTTAGGTTTTGTGTGGAACTGTGAGGCAGATTCTTTACAGATAAGATTTTTTGTTTTATGCTGCCTGCCAGAAAACCCTCATGATTTTGTTTGCAGATTGGAGGAGTAATTTTAATAATACAACAAAATTTCAGGGTCGGGAAATTGTGCCACATTTCATTCTGGCATTTCAGATGGAAACAGTTGACTCTGTTATAGGTTAAACATTAAACCGTTCATCGTCTGGAATTAATTAATCTACAGAAAGACAAGTGGGGCTTTTGGGTCTCTCCCACTCCAACCTTTGTATGATTATCAAGAAACAAAAGAGTTACACAATTAAGTTGTTTGTAAATCAAAAGAGAGATACCTCACTCCTGTGTGTGCTTTCAATTGCCTTGAAATTCATGGTGCTTACTCAGTTTAACTCTGCTTTGGTTTGCTCGATATGAACAACTGGACTTCAGTAGAAATAGGAGACCACCCATCAATTGCAAATGCTGTCCATGGAAATGGTAGGTAGCCAAAGCAGATCTTTAACCACAGCTATGAACTAGAGAGCATATGGCAGACCTCTTCACCAAAATGACTTGTTTGCTGTTGTCTATGGATGCGAGATCTGGACTTGATAGTAGCAACTGTGGTTATCTTCCCTATAATTAGAATAATAGTAAAAATTCAGAAAGAGCCAGTAAGTTATGAGCATTTGTGGTAAGAACTTGTCAAATGTTAGCTTCCCCAGTACTAAACTGCTTTACTGGAAACAATATATTACAGTGTAGAAAGATGTGAATATAGGCAGCTTTCTGTATCCATGGATTCTGCACCCATGGATTCAGCTACCCACAGATTGAAAATATGTATTAAAAAAATTCTGAAGAGGAAACCTTGATTTTGCCATTCTAATTAAGGGACAGCATTTTGCTATGCTGCTGCATATCATGGGATCTGAGCATCCATGAATGCTGGTGTCTACAGGAACCAAAGCTCTGTAGATACTAAAGATCCACTGTATCTAAAACAAAAAAGTTTCAACAATTCCAAATTTGTTTCATACAACAATCATTTAATTAGACTGTACTATATGTATTGTGTTTGGTCTCATCTTTTGTATGAAACAAGGGGATCCTCACAGAGGCTAACATCCAGTCCCTTTGAGGTGCAAACATCCTATAGTTAGGCTCAAATGTAATGGGAAATGGTATTTATTTATGTATGGTGTCAGAAGCAAATTGAGGGTACATTTATAATGTATTTTAAAACACAAACAAAATTTAAAACTTGGCATTATACTAAATTTCCTTTGACC